GGGTACAAACTGTGCAGAACAGATCGCCCCCAAATCCCACATCCGACCGCCCAGCACAGGGACAAGGATGACAGCAGTTTGAAGAGTCATTAGAGAGTCCTGTCTGGAGATGGGGAACAAGCTGGCCAGGGTATACTGAGGAGTCAGACAACACAGGCAGGACGCAGACAGGACGAGGGGCAATACAGGGAGATGAGGCAGAAGAAGCAGCCAGGAAAAAGAAGGGAACGGTGAGCAGGACAGAGGTGGAGGACCAGCGAAGACTTGGGACGGGAGAGGGAACTGCGGGGACAAGGTCTCGGGCCGCACTCCTCAACACGACGGGACCTGTTTACACTCCTATTAAAATTTACAATCCGGAGCAGCAGCTGGGGGGGGCAAAATCAGCGAGATGCTTGTTATAGAGCGTCCAGATTGTCCTATGTAGAACTGGAGGTGCTCTAGTCCTCCAGAAGAAGGTCACATGACAGCCAGGGAAGTCCCAGGGGATCAGATGGAGAAGACCTCCAATAATAATCAGGAAGGGTCACTGGGCTCATCAGTGTATACAACCTGCATATCACTGGTCATCTCGCTCCAAAACCACGGAGGTACCCCCCCCTCTATGTCCATTAATATGGAGGTGCCCCCCTCCCCATCCAGTAATATGGACGTGCCCCCCTCCCCATCCAGTAATATGGACGTGCCCCCCTCCCCATCCAGTAATATGGACGTGCCCCCCTCCCCATCCAGTAATATGGACGTGCCCCCCTCCCCATCCAGTAATATGGACGTGCCCCCCTCCCCATCCAGTAATATGGACGTGCCCCCCTCCCCATCCAGTAATATGGACGTGCCCCCCTCCCCATCCAGTAATATGGACGTGCCCCCCTCCCCATCCAGTAATATGGACGTGCCCCCCTCCCCATCCAGTAATATGGACGTGCCCCCCTCCCCATCCAGTAATATGGACGTGCCCCCCTCCCCATCCAGTAATATGGACGTGCCCCCCTCCCCATCCAGTAATATGGACGTGCCCCCCTCCCCATCCAGTAATATGGACGTGCCCCCCTCCCCATCCAGTAATATGGACGTGCCCCCCTCCCCATCCAGTAATATGGACGTGCCCCCCTCCCCATCCAGTAATATGGACGTGCCCCCCTCCCCATCCAGTAATATGGACGTGCCCCCCTCCCCATCCAGTAATATGGACGTGCCCCCCTCCCCATCCAGTAATATGGACGTGCCCCCCTCCCCATCCAGTAATATGGACGTGCCCCCCTCCCCATCCAGTAATATGGACGTGCCCCCCTCCCCATCCAGTAATATGGACGTGCCCCCCTCCCCATCCAGTAATATGGACGTGCCCCCCTCCCCATCCAGTAATATGGACGTGCCCCCCTCCCCATCCAGTAATATGGACGTGCCCCCCTCCCCATCCAGTAATATGGACGTGCCCCCCTCCCCATCCAGTAATATGGACGTGCCCCCCTCCCCATCCAGTAATATGGACGTGCCCCCCTCCCCATCCAGTAATATGGACGTGCCCCCCTCCCCATCCAGTAATATGGACGTGCCCCCCTCCCCATCCAGTAATATGGACGTGCCCCCCTCCCCATCCAGTAATATGGACGTGCCCCCCTCCCCATCCAGTAATATGGAGGTGCCCCCCCCCCCATTATTATGGAGTTGAACCCCATCCATGACCATATTATTGAGTTCCTATTCCTGACCATTAATACTGTATCCCCTAAGAGACCATAACATACAGGGGTACAGGTCACGCGGGGACTCATGTACACACACAATGGGTTGAACTTGATGGACCGGTGTCTTTATTCAACCTCAAATACCGTGTAATACGGAGTCTCCCCCCCCCGTCCATGACCATTAATATGAAGTTGCCCCTTTTGTGGCCAATTCATCCTCCAGTCTCTACTGAGAAGACCTTCCACAGGATTTTTGGGGGTGTCTGTGGGAATGTTGGACCATGTGTGAGGTCCGGTAGTGAAGTTGGATGAGGCTCACGATACAATTCACCCCAGAGGTGATCAGTAGGGATGAGGTCAGGTGGTGATGTTGGATGAGAAGACCCGGGCTCATAGTCAGTGATCAGTAGGGATGAGGTCGGGGCTCTGTGCAGGTGCCCCCATGTCTGTATGGAGCTCTGTACACGGGGGACAGAAAAGGGTCTTCACCAAACTGTGACAACAAGGCTGGAGGAGCCCCATTGTCTCCAATGTCTTTGTATGATGGAGGAGGAGCAGACCCTTCCCTGGAGACCCCTGAACCCCGTCATTTAGAGGGGGGGTCCTCATACATCTGGCCGTGTGATGGAGATCTGAGATTGCAGTTGTCTAATCTGCCCGTTTTTAGCTGCGTCAGGCAATAGAGCGAAACGCGGCGATCCTCCAGGAGGAACCTTCATTCAGAACTACGCAATACAAAGATTATCCCACGGCACAGACTGCCGAACCGAGGCCCCGTTACCCACAGCAACCGGACGATGGGTGTGATTGTTCTGGGATAACCGTATCTGGTTGCCGAGGGTGACTCCTCTTCTCTTCAGTCTTCCACCTGACCTCCGTCCTTCCCTTCAGTCTTCTATCTGACCTCCGTCCTCTTCTATCTGACCTCCGTCCTCTTCTATCTGACCTCCGTCCTCTTCTATCTGACCTCCGTCCTCTTCTATCTGACCTCCGTCCTCTTCTATCTGACCTCCGTCCTCTTCTATCTGACCTCCGTCCTCTTCTATCTGACCTCCGTCCTCTTCTATCTGACCTCCGTCCTCTTCTATCTGACCTCCGTCCTCTTCTATCTGACCTCCGTCCTCTTCTATCTGACCTCCGTCCTCTTCTATCTGACCTCCGTCCTCTTCTATCTGACCTCCGTCCTCTTCTATCTGACCTCCGTCCTCTTCTATCTGACCTCCGTCCTCTTCTATCTGACCTCCGTCCTCTTCTATCTGACCTCCGTCCTCTTCTATCTGACCTCCGTCCTCTTCTATCTGACCTCCGTCCTCTTCTATCTGACCTCCGTCCTCTTCTATCTGACCTCCGTCCTCTTCTATCTGACCTCCGTCCTCTTCTATCTGACCTCCGTCCTCTTCTATCTGACCTCCGTCCTCTTCTATCTGACCTCCGTCCTCTTCTATCTGACCTCCGTCCTCTTCTATCTGACCTCCGTCCTCTTCTATCTGACCTCCGTCCTCTTCTATCTGACCTCCGTCCTCTTCTATCTGACCTCCGTCCTCTTCTATCTGACCTCCGTCCTCTTCTATCTGACCTCCGTCCTCTTCTATCTGACCTCCGTCCTCTTCTATCTGACCTCCGTCCTCTTCTATCTGACCTCCGTCCTCTTCTATCTGACCTCCGTCCTCTTCTATCTGACCTCCGTCCTCTTCTATCTGACCTCCGTCCTCTTCTATCTGACCTCCGTCCTCTTCTATCTGACCTCCGTCCTCTTCTATCTGACCTCCGTCCTCTTCTATCTGACCTCCGTCCTCTTCTATCTGACCTCCGTCCTCTTCTATCTGACCTCCGTCCTCTTCTATCTGACCTCCGTCCTCTTCTATCTGACCTCCGTCCTCTTCTATCTGACCTCCGTCCTCTTCTATCTGACCTCCGTCCTCTTCTATCTGACCTCCGTCCTCTTCTATCTGACCTCCGTCCTCTTCTATCTGACCTCCGTCCTCTTCTATCTGACCTCCGTCCTCTTCTATCTGACCTCCGTCCTCTTCTATCTGACCTCCGTCCTCTTCTATCTGACCTCCGTCCTCTTCTATCTGACCTCCGTCCTCTTCTATCTGACCTCCGTCCTCTTCTATCTGACCTCCGTCCTCTTCTATCTGACCTCCGTCCTCTTCTATCTGACCTCCGTCCTCTTCTATCTGACCTCCGTCCTCTTCTATCTGACCTCCGTCCTCTTCTATCTGACCTCCGTCCTCTTCTATCTGACCTCCGTCCTCTTCTATCTGACCTCCGTCCTCTTCTATCTGACCTCCGTCCTCTTCTATCTGACCTCCGTCCTCTTCTATCTGACCTCCGTCCTCTTCTATCTGACCTCCGTCCTCTTCTATCTGACCTCCGTCCTCTTCTATCTGACCTCCGTCCTCTTCTATCTGACCTCCGTCCTCTTCTATCTGACCTCCGTCCTCTTCTATCTGACCTCCGTCCTCTTCTATCTGACCTCCGTCCTCTTCTATCTGACCTCCGTCCTCTTCTATCTGACCTCCGTCCTCTTCTATCTGACCTCCGTCCTCTTCTATCTGACCTCCGTCCTCTTCTATCTGACCTCCGTCCTCTTCTATCTGACCTCCGTCCTCTTCTATCTGACCTCCGTCCTCTTCTATCTGACCTCCGTCCTCTTCTATCTGACCTCCGTCCTCTTCTATCTGACCTCCGGCCTTCCCTTCAGTCTTCTATCTGCCCTCCGTCCTCCCCTTCAGTCTTCTATCTGACCTCTGTCCTTGCTGACGTCCAGCATCATCTATCGCTTTCCTGGCTGTTCCTGACCCCGCCCCTTTCATACTTTGGATTTCAGTTCTTCCAATCATGGAGGCTCAGCATCACATGTGGGTGTTACCTAGGGCAGTCTTCATGCAAATACCAGCTGCCTAGGAACACCCACTCCTCCACTGACTCCACCCATCAAGGCATTTCGATGTTTGCATAAGTCCTCCCAAGAGCCCGCCCACTGCTTGCATTAAGGCTGAAGGCCCCCACTATGACTGCCATCACTCGGTTGCTATGGCGATGTCAGTGACCCCTCACCTCTGCGTGCAGGTCCAGGCTCAGGTCCACGGCGGCCTCTCCCAGAATCCTCTTGATCTCGGCCCTCTCACTGGCGGGTACCTGCTCCTCCACCAGCCTCCAGAGCGACGGCGGGGGGTCACTGATCTCTCCATAGCCGCTGTCCTGGTCACTCAGGGGCTGCAACATGTCAGGACCGGCTGGGACTCCGCATGGACCTGTCGGGGAATAGATGAAGACAGTTAGTGGCTGATGGAATATAAAAGGGAGGGACAAAAAGAACCCACAGCACCCCAACCCAAACATGAGGGGGAGGGGAGAACTACAAACAATGGCTGCCCCCCCATAGGGACAGCAATGTGCTGAGGGGACAGACATGGCGGTCAAACGGTTGTATCCCTCTGTGGCAGTCATGTGACCCAGCGCCATGTTCCCAGTAACAGGGGATTGTGGGAAAGATTAGGGGCAGCCATGACGGCCCAGTTGCTTCATCCCCTGCGGCCCCCCCAACAACCAATCAGAAAGTAGGAGGAGTGGCAGCTGTAAAATGATTGGCTGGTTGGAGACACATGCAGGACTCTCTGCAAGGGGGGACTCCAGCCCTAAAATGTGACTGTATGTGGGGGACATGGGGTTGTCTGGGGGATGGTGGGGTGCAATACAGGTAGCAGGGGACGGTGTGGTGAGGGGTGCGGGTATTGGGGATAAGGGGGGGGGTTGAAGGGCAGCCGGGATGGTGGAGGGGGCGGGTATTGGGGTGCAGGGTGGAATTAAGGGGTAAGGGGGGGAAGGGATATGTTGTAGTGTGAGGGGGGGTTCCCCTTCGTACTTTGAGGGGGTCCGGCGGGCTCCAGTCACGTGACACGCGCTCCCCTTCCAGCTCCGCTCTCTCTCAGGTAAACTCTGCCGTCACCATGGTGACCCGGACACGCCCCTTCCACCGTCGCAGGCCCCAGCTTCTTAAAGCGGCCGCGCCAGAGAGCCCGGCTGACAGGCAGTGACGTCACGGAGAGGGGAGCCTCGTGCCTCCGGGAATGAGGCCTGCACCGTACACACCGCCGGCCCATCCAGATGTAGAAGGGTGATGTGGACCCGGCTGGTAAAACACGGGACATGTTTCCAATGGTATGAGCAGATGATATGGGATGATGAGGCCGGGGTGTGTAGGCCTCCTATTCATAATGACTTCAACGTCATCACGCTGCAATGGATAAGTCTGTCTGAATGGGCCCAAAGTATGAGAGAGGTCACAAGACTCTCTGCAGTTCATGTTACAGTCCTCCATGGCGTCCTTTAAGGCTCCAGAGTGACTGATCTCCGATTATCAGCAATAGAAAGCTCTCACATTTTTGCTGTTCTTTATTTCATTTATGTCTTTGCAGAGTCTCCTACTGGCGGCCGCCATTCTGCTAGACGATGCAGTTTGCTTTCATGCAGAATGACTGGTGAGGTAAAAATCAATTACAGGATAAGACACCTGTCTTCAATGACCCTAAGACTGACCACAGACAGGCCGATTGTGCACCTGATTGGACGGCCTCGGTGTGAGCTGAGCCATCGCAGTGACGGAAGAGTAGATGATGGGCGTGTCCTGTGCGGGGATTCACTGAATTGGCTCATTCCCCCCCCCCCAATCCCTGGCTGTGATAATGTAAACAAACAATTGGGGATCCCAGGTGACATCATTGACCAAATATGGTCATGGCCCTATATGGTAAGTGATGTCACCGGGGTGTCTGCATTACCTTTTTTATGTCCTTTCACCCATCTTAGTGCTGCTGATCTCCTGCAGCCACTTCCTGTCTACATGCACTCCCTCCAGCATCAGCTGCACATCATTGCTCTGGACTGGTTTCCTGACAGCAGTGGATCACAACTGAGCAATGTGTGCCTGCATAGCTGCTTGTAGTCACCACCAGGGGGGCATATGACAGGGTGACAACACAGGAGAACAGATGGGACAGGGACAGATCGTTGTCACCCTATAACAGCAAGTTTCTGGACAAGAACGGAACGTTGTCACCCTATAACAGGAAGTGTCTGGACAAGAACGGTGCTGCTTGTAGTCACCACCAGGGGGGCATATGACAGGGTGACAACACAGGAGAACAGATGGGACAGGGACAGATCGTTGTCACCCTATAACAGCAAGTTTCTGGACAAGAACGGAACGTTGTCACCCTATAACAGGAAGTGTCTGGACAAGAACGGAACGTTGTCACCCTATAACAGGAAGTGTCTGGACAAGAACGGAACGTTGTCACATTACTGGGACTAAAAAAAGGATTGTAATGACTACGGTTAGATTTTCTGTACAGTTGTCATGATTACAGTCGTGTTGTCGGTTGATCTCTCCCGGATTCCTCGCCTGTCGCTCTCGGCTTCCATCACTCAGCAGCTGACGGGTCTCCTCATTCTTCCAGAGACAGGTTGAGACCCGGCGGGGGAGGGGGAGGAGAGGCGCGCTGTGTACGTGCCGCCGTATTCCCCCCCGAGCAGAGAACATTCACCGGAGATTTATGAGTCCCATCCAGAAAATATCCGCCGGCGTCTTCCGAGCTGCCAGGAATCCCCGCCGTCTCTTCTCGTTACATTGTTACAGAAACTTGCCAGCCGTCCCCGGTGACCCCGATGTGTCCCCGGAGGATTCCCCAAACTGGACCCCGATGTGACCCCGGAGGATTCCCCAAACTGGCCCCCGATGTGTCCCCGGAGGATTCCCCAAACTGGCCCCCGATGTGTCCCCGGAGGATTCCCCAAACTGGCCCCCGATGTGTCCCCGGAGGATTCCCCAAACTGGCCCCCGATGTGTCCCCGGAGGATTCCCCAAACTGGCCCCCGATGTGTCCCCGGAGGATTCCCCAAACTGGCCCCCGATGTGTCCCCGGAGGATTCCCCAAACTGGCCCCCGATGTGTCCCCGGAGGATTCCCCAAACTGGCCCCCGATGTGTCCCCGGAGGATTCCCCAAACTGGCCCCCGATGTGTCCCCGGAGGATTCCCCAAACTGGCCCCCGATGTGTCCCCGGAGGATTCCCCAAACTGGCCCCCGATGTGTCCCCGGAGGATTCCCCAAACTGGCCCCCGATGTGTCCCCGGAGGATTCCCCAAACTGGCCCCCGATGTGTCCCCGGAGGATTCCCCAAACTGGCCCCCGATGTGTCCCCGGAGGATTCCCCAAACTGGCCCCCGATGTGTCCCCGGAGGATTCCCCAAACTGGCCCCCGATGTGTCCCCGGAGGATTCCCCAAACTGGCCCCCGATGTGTCCCCGGAGGATTCCCCAAACTGGCCCCCGATGTGTCCCCGGAGGATTCCCCAAACTGGCCCCCGATGTGTCCCCGGAGGATTCCCCAAACTGGCCCCCGATGTGTCCCCGGAGGATTCCCCAAACTGGCCCCCGATGTGTCCCCGGAGGATTCCCCAAACTGGCCCCCGATGTGTCCCCGGAGGATTCCCCAAACTGGCCCCCGATGTGTCCCCGGAGGATTCCCCAAACTGGCCCCCGATGTGTCCCCGGAGGATTCCCCAAACTGGCCCCCGATGTGTCCCCGGAGGATTCCCCAAACTGGCCCCCGATGTGTCCCCGGAGGATTCCCCAAACTGGCCCCCGATGTGTCCCCGGAGGATTCCCCAAACTGGCCCCCGATGTGTCCCCGGAGGATTCCCCAAACTGGCCCCCGATGTGTCCCCGGAGGATTCCCCAAACTGGCCCCCGATGTGTCCCCGGAGGATTCCCCAAACTGGCCCCCGATGTGTCCCCGGAGGATTCCCCAAACTGGCCCCCGATGTGTCCCCGGAGGATTCCCCAAACTGGCCCCCGATGTGTCCCCGGAGGATTCCCCAAACTGGCCCCCGATGTGTCCCCGGAGGATTCCCCAAACTGGCCCCCGATGTGTCCCCGGAGGATTCCCCAAACTGGCCCCCGATGTGTCCCCGGAGGATTCCCCAAACTGGCCCCCGATGTGTCCCCGGAGGATTCCCCAAACTGGCCCCCGATGTGTCCCCGGAGGATTCCCCAAACTGGCCCCCGATGTGTCCCCGGAGGATTCCCCAAACTGGCCCCCGATGTGTCCCCGGAGGATTCCCCAAACTGGCCCCCGATGTGTCCCCGGAGGATTCCCCAAACTGGCCCCCGATGTGTCCCCGGAGGATTCCCCAAACTGGCCCCCGATGTGTCCCCGGAGGATTCCCCAAACTGGCCCCCGATGTGTCCCCGGAGGATTCCCCAAACTGGACCCCGATGTGTCCCCGGAAGGAACAATAACTGATAGAGTGCAGCAGAGGCAGAGTGTACAGGAAGTGATCGGCTCTCTGGGTTTCTGGCGGGATATACAATATATCTATCAGACGGAAGGGAGGAAATAAGAGAGATTCATTGTTACAGTTCCCCCCCCCCGATAAGGACACAATGTATCCCGGACATAACACAGAACTCTGAGGCCCATTTCCAGACGCTGACTGTCCTCTGTGATCCATCCAGATCCACACAACCTTCTCTGCCCCCAGAACCGCGGCGCTCACCAATCAGCATTCTGGGATCAGAGAAGAAATAGCCGGAGGAGTCAGACGCGGGTCAGAGAACGAAGCCGATCATCTCCGACATCAGAGTCATCGCTCCTTTAAATTGACCCTTTCCCTGCCGGGAGCGCCGGGCTGTATAGACTGGTCATCAAAGTGATCTAAACTCCACAAGTGACAGGAGCTGTCATGCGGTCAGAGGATGGGGGTGGGGCAGGGGTTGTGGGTCCTCTGTATGGGGGGGAACTGGCAACCCTCTGTACAGTGAAGGGGGGGGGCAGGGCAGGGTATGTGCCCTGTGTACAGTAGAGGGGAGGTTGGCTGTCATCCCATTATGGTTAGTAGGAGGGGAGAGGAGGTATCACATCACATGCTGGACCCAGCCCAGAGACACAGAGAGCACAGAAGAATGAGTCTGTAATGGGAGCTTCATCCACCCAGGAGCCCCCCCCCCATCACACGCTGAAATTATAAAAGAGGAGCGGAGTGGGGGCCACTCAGACACTGCAGCCTGACACAGCAAACTTCCAGCCAGCCTGACTGCCGGGAGCTACTCAACCGGGGGAGCCACCGAGACCTA